GAGCTGCTCCCGTTCCCACGATTGACTGGGCGTGACTTCGCGGTTTAACTTGCTTCCTGCATCATTTCAATTGTGATAACGAAGGCGTATGATAATTAAACAAAGGATAACGCAGTAAGCAGATTATAATTTCGTATAAAATCGTACAATATTTAGTTTTCTTGATAGCAGTTCTTTCCATTCGTATGTAAATCGCGAGAAATGTGTCTTTTCGTTCGGCTTGAGAGACAGTTCTGTTGCTCTCTTCCTTTTTTCCTCCACCTCTCCCTCACTCACTGCCCCTCTCGTTTGTTTCTCTGCCCCTCTCGCGTCCCCTTGAGGCTATCCTACCCTACCCGACCCTGCCCTGTCCTGCCTTCACACCGAACTGCCCAAATGACCCCACTTCTTGCCACCCTCCTCACCCTGAGCAACCGTGCCTGATCCCGATACTACCCGCCTTACCGTCAGGTTGTGCGTGATGACGAAGTTCCTGTGGAGACGACTGGCTTTCAATCATCACGTTATTTGCTGAGATAGATTGAGTCTTCGGGAAAGGGATGTTTGTATAACATGTTTTAATAATAATGTATGATAATTGATTCCTAGTTCGGAATTTGCGAGAACCAGTTGCAATTTTGACAATTCACAGTGTCTGGTGGTCGTAGAAGCGCAGTATTATTTCGCTTTGATTCAGAGAAAGACTATTTCCGGAACATCTGCTGTCTAACTCGTATTTCAAATATTCCATTTCGCCGCAAGAATATATTACAATATGACTAAATATGTAAAAAAAATATGCATTAATATGCAAAAGATGTTAAAACATGCTATACCCAAATATGTACAGTAAAACAAAGTAGTTTTAATTTATTCGGAATGTCATGAAAACGCGATGAACGAAATGAAGAAAAGAACATATGAATTTAGGTGTCTTGAACCTATAAAAGTATTTATTTACATCAAAATCCGAATCTCCGACAATAATGAAATGGAGGTCATAGAAAAAGTGTGTTTTAAACATTTCTATTTTGTGCAGCGCATTTCACAGATACTTTACTTCCGACGGTGTGTTATAGTGGGGTATAATCAAGTATGCGTTTGCGCTGGAGTTATAGGAGGAGTATGCGTTTGCGCTGGAGTGGTTTGCATCTCCAATGAGTACTTATATATTTGCCATAATATTCGTCGCGCTATTTTTAGTATCAGTAAAAAAAATTAAATTAAATAGTGCATATTTGCGACTTCAGCATATGTGGAAACGTCGTGTTTGTGCCAATTGTTACTGCACGGCTGCAGCAAACAATTACGGAATAAGATTCAAGTTATCAGCAATTATTGTGATTCATAAGTAGTCAAGATAACAATTGCAACTTATTAGTTATAACTGCAATAGCGAAATGTTTTCAAATAGTCTTACCGTCGTGAATACGAGTGCCTTGTGTGTAGGCTTTTCGGCACCAGTTCTTTCTATTGAATCAATACGTTTCTAAACGCTCATTTTCCCACGGAACGAAAATTGCTTCAGAAGAAAACTTCAGAGTGAAGTACAAAGTAACATTTTAACAACGCAGTTTGACTTCGTCTGGAAGTTACCTAGAATATTTCAGAGTTATGCTGGAGAATCTGTACGTGAAATTATTATAAAAGTATCTAGCAGTAAAAAAAAAAGTTCTGACTTTCATATGTAGTGTGCCAGTCATCAAGACGTGCATATGCTAGTTTTTTTACATGGCATTGAAACAATTAAATTAGCAGTAAAGGGAAGTGTGCTAAGACTTCTGTGATATGCCAGTTTGGAGGCAAAGAAACAAACACGATAACTTGATTGTTTTAACACTGTTTTCATGGTAACACAGGGCATATTAATTAGTCCAAAGATTTCTTTCTCTAAACGATAAGAAATCGTCAACGTGAGCTCTTGTGAACTTTTCTAAAATACCATTAAAAAATTAATGAATTGTAACCCAAAATATTCTTCATACAAGAAAGCTTCGTGTTCGAACACTAAAGAAAATCAAAATACAAATAACAAATATTAAAATGGTCTTTGTTTCCTTTGCTTTGAGGCGGATATATCTCAAGTAATGGAATTTTCTCTGTAAAAGAATGTCCTCGCGTGTGTTAATTACAATTACTATGGATTTATAAAAAAGTCCATAAACGTCCCTTAAAAAGCTATGATATCTGCCCCCTCGAAAAAATACCCCCTTAAATTGTGGCAACGCAATACGCAATCGTTTCTATAAGTTTTCGTTACCCGTTTCCTCCATGAATTGTCAGTGCCTGACCTGTCTTTTCGCTACACTGTCAGTAATGTCATTAAATCTAATGTGTAGATGAATGTATTAACGTACATGGAACTGAATGTACCAGAACTCTAAAATGAGCTTAATGTAGTTGTACATTAAATGTAATGCTGAAATTAAAATCAGTGAATATTTAATGTAGAAGTTCCCCTGTTGCCCTTGGCTTCATATAATAAATTCATTACCAGTCCATCAAGATTATTCATAAAGTTATGACCATAAAGCATCCTAGTGTACGTCGTACGTGCGTACATTAAATTGAATGTACGTTCATGATAATGACTTCAATATCCATTTCATTAAAGTGATGCAGAAATGTCTGACAGTGCGTATAAGCGCAATGAAGCGCGGGGAGCAGTCCCTGGATTTGCGGGGGCCGCCGCCGCCGCCGCCGCCGTGGCTTCGGCGTGGCAGCGGGCGGTGGCTGCGTGCGTGGCTCCGGGCTAACGGTCCGCGCCGCGCCTCGCCGGTTCGTCGCCCGCGAGCCGAGCCGCGCCGCGCCGCGGCAGAGGCCGAGGCCGAGGCCTTGGCTGGCTGAGTGGGCGCCGCCGCACATTGGGTCAGAATAACGACTACGGCCACTTCCAGTTCAATTACCATACACGGAGATTCGTTTTCTTCGCGAAGTTCGGAACTAGCTGACAAACAAAATATCCCGCGACCCCCCTTTCCTGGCAGATGTTACTTGTAAAAATGTTTCGTGTTTAGAGTTTGGATGTTTGACATGATATTTCTTCTTTGTGTCATTTTCATTGACAATGAACGTTAACCATGATTTTATCTCGAACTAAAATTATGCAATTTTCGTGTGTCGTATACAGTCATATTTTGGCTTTTTAAAACCTTTTCGTCATTTTTCGTTAATATTTCATTTATGGTCACATTTTCCCATGAATTTTCGTACTTTTTGTCATATTTTCATTTTTTTTATTCCATTTTCGCATACTTGCTTGCAGTGTTCTGAGATGCTTCACTTCTCCTAAATTGTATCTAATTTGTATATAGTGAATTAGGAGGATAAGCTGTAAATAATGAGAAAAAGAAAGCGTAGAAACCACCAGACGCGAAGGAAGAGTTAGTGTAGTTTTATCGGTTTTTGTGCAAAGATCAGCCGCTTCTATAAATAACTTAAGGTGGTAAAATTAACTTCAAAAGGAGACGGGCTGAATTGTGTGTTTTTAAAAGAATATTTTTAAAATAATTTTTAAAATTTTAAGAAGGTTATTTAAACAATAAGATTTTGAAGATTTCGCAAAGGCAACCAAAAGTTTTAATCATATTTAAGGTCATATTTTCAGTTTTTTCAGTCATAAATGCATATTTCTAATATTATGTTAATAAACATCCGGGCCCTACCAATTACTTCTTAATAAGTGGAGCTGGCTCTACTAGCGTACATAACATGCCCATGCGCCCCGCAGAGTATTATTGCATGTCGTGAGGCAAGGGTTAGGAACTGTGAATGGATTTAAAATTAAATCGTGAAATTGCATTAGGTTGTGGTTTTTTTACTGAAGAAGGGACGCGTATTAAAAATGTCATCTATACCAAATTAGTTGCGTCTGTGCACCGTTGCAGGTACACAGTTTAGACATTTTATTTTCACCACTGATGTGGCAAACAGGTCTCTCTTAACATTGATAGTCGAAAATTCTGCCAAACAAACATTACTTTTTTTTTCGCGTTTTCGGCATTTGGTGACACTGTGCGACGGGGCAGTGGCCTTTGGGCAAGGCGCACACCGCACCGGCCGAGGCGCCGCGACCTTCGTAGCCTCCTCTGCTCTGGCTCTTCTCTTCCTTCCTCCCAAGGTCACCCACGCCTCGCATCACACGGTTGGATGTGCGAATTTCAGCGCGACTTCTCCTCGGGCACGGCGTTTAGCGATTCTGACGCCAAATAAAATGGACCGTCACTCTGCGCGCCTTGCTGTGTCAACCGATCACTCTATGGCCAGATGACACTTTCCCCTCTGCCGAGCAGTGAATTTCGGTGCATCAAGGTTACCTATTATTCAGTGTACCTTCCAACTTGCATATATAATATATATATATATATAATTATATATTATATATAGTATATATATAATAATATATTCGAGCTTGGCCATTGGCCCTCTGCAGCCGCATAAGATGAAACGTGCGTGTTAGTCAACCTTCCAACCGCCGAGTTGCGTGGCTGTCTGGAACTTGTCCGACGCACGTACTTTCTATGATTAAACAATCCCCATCCAAAAGAAAGAAAAAACAACGTTGATCGCCGAGAGAGTTCTTCTGACGAAAAAGTTTGTAGCATTAGCCTAATTTTCAAGTCACGCAAACACAAATTTGAAATAATTAAATCATTTCCAGTGTTCAGTCCAGTCCGTTGTACCAAACAATAATACTACATACTCTACATACACACTTTTTAATTACTATTTATATTAATTTTATTACTATATATGTATTGAATTTTTAATCTCAGCAGTTTGGTTTTATATGTAATGAATACTGATATGGAAAAATAAATAACTTGGCCAGTAATCTCTCCTTAGCAGGCATGGAAATTGTTTATTCAATGTGTGCTTGTTCATTAGCAGTTACAATTCAACTTCTAAATCTTATTTCACTTTTGATTGTTTAATTTCCTTATTTCCTTCCTATTATTTATTATCTTTGCTTGAAAACTTTCCCCATAATAGAAAATTTATGATTGGTTTATATGTTATAGGTGGAGACAGAGATGGAATCAACATGAGTTTGCTGCTACCTATTGTGCAGAAAGCTGAACTGTCTCGTTCTGAAATCCAGATCTTGATTGATCACCTGTTGAACAAGCAGCAGAACGCTGGTGCCACTGATGCAGAATGGATAGAAGTAAGCTATAATTAAAATGTAATGCAGAGATGGTTGAAAAAGACTAATTTTTTGTTGTAGTAAAATTGATACAGTCGCTGGAAAATGAAAAAATATCTGTTACTATTTTTAGACATTTCTATTTTTAAAGCCTTTTTGAGATTTAATATTTAATTAGTATTTTAATAAGCATCATAAAACATTGTCTCGCCGAACACTTTTTACAGTTACAGTTTAAAGACTTAATGTTTAAATTTCGTTGTTGATGTACCGGTATCATCAGAATTCTAGGGGTGTAATTCAGAAATCCCTTGTGATATGCAGCGAAAACTAAATTCATATTAACTTCGTAGTTTGATCTTTTGAAACGGCAACATCTGGCACAGTTGGAAGCAAACCTTATTCCTTTCTTGCTTACGCGGTAGAGAGGTGTGTAATGCTGCGCGAAAAACAGGCGAAAATTCTGCAGAAAAAACTGATAACGAAAATGTAGATTAATCCAGTTGCTAAATTTAGAATGAAAAAATCCTCACTTGGTGTAGCGAGAATTCGTTTTGTGGGTTTTTTATACCGAAAAATCGATTGACGGTACGATACCTACCGTCCGGTCTGCACTGTCTATCCGGTGTATGTGAACAACACTTAACGCCTAAACAATGCGTAGGATTTTTCCCAAATTGAAGAAACCTCTGCCGATCTACTCTTAGTGAAAGCTCGCTATTTTGCATTCATTAATTTTTGGGAACGCATTCATTGATTTTTTTATTTTTTTACGTTACATGAAGTCCCAGAGACATTTTCAGAATTGTCTAAAAATGGCTCCAAATTTTCTTTAAGTTTCTTGTAAGAATAGTATAATATACACATATAAAGGTGGCATTGGTCCAATTTTCACTGTTAACTTTAAATTATCGATAAATACAAAAGTTAAATTTTTTTTCGGCAACTTCCTAAAACTACGAAATTGAAAAGAAAGATTTTTCCTTCAAATGAAGTTTGTTGTCCATAATTAGTTCATTCATTAAGGTCAGGAACATTTTTTCGATAATTTAGTAGTTTTCGTGTAACATTGTGTGCGATATATGCAATTAAAAAAAATATTTTTTCAAAAATCGCTTTAAATATTTTCCTATAATCTTTTCGTAGGGATAGTGCTAAATGTACTCTGAGGTGGCATAAACGTCATATTGCTCTATTCTTTTTCTTTTTCCGAAAATAACAAAAATGTATTTTTTTTTATTTCTGTCTCATGTCGATTCTATTTGCAGGAGCGGCATTTTGTTCACATTATTGCATTTGCTATTAAATGTGCTTTGAATGTTGTTATATAGAATTTCTCGAAAACTCAAAAGTTTTTTGCGAAAACAAGCCCAAAATTCCACATTTTCAGAAAAACTCAAGTGCCATTTTCTGAAAAATGGCTCCAAATTTTTTCTTCAAACTTTGTGTACGGATAGTCCTATTTGCACTGTTGAAGATGACATACAAGTAATTTTGCTGGATCTTTCGTTTTTTCAAAAATTACACAAATGATTTTTTTAGAAATATCACTGTAAGGTCCTAAGGTACCCGTGTAATTTGAGGCAGCCATTGATCCAGGCTCACCAGCTTAGGTGGCTCAGGGCATCAGTTGATGTCACTGCATTGCCTCTGATTGTGAGGTCCTAAGGTTCGAGTGAGACGATGGCAGGTTTTCGACACTAGCTAGATAGCCAGGATGAGTCAAGTCGCTGTGTGCAGGAGAATTGTATCGGCCCTTGCTTTGATCGGAAGTTTTCAATGGGTTCTCTGATTAACACCAGGTGAGTGCTGGAGCAATATCCTACCAAACGGGCACGGTCCGCCCATGATCTTGCCTTCCTCTTTCTTGTTCTACTCTCTCCCCTTGCTTACACACTTACTGCATTCCACTATCACACTTGTTGGGAGATCAGTCGGGAGGTTAGAGCTCGTCGAGACTAGGGCGATGCCCTGCTGATGGGAGACTCTTGGTAGGGCGAAAACCTGCAAACAGATATTTCGGTCTGCGCTGGATCTTGCCATCCAGCTGGGAAAGATCACCACCTTCCACGATAAAACGTGCACAACTTACAGGTCTAATGATCTGACCAGTTGATGCTCTCGGAAAGGCTGATTAATAAATTGATCCAAGTTATTTAATGCTGGTTACCCTTCCATAACTTACTGTGCTTCCCTCTAACTTTGATGGTTAATATTGGAGTTCTAAATCTGTCAGACGCTTTTCAGAGTGATAAATAACCAACCATAACTTCTTGCACAGTTCTGCATAGGCCATCAGCATTATAATTGCACCTAACTCAAGGTCCGAGATGTTTTCTACATCTTCGCTCCATTGTCCGAAGTTGTCACACCCTCTCTAGCTTTTTCACCTAATTATTGCTGGTCCGGACTGTTTCAACAATTTTCACTAATCATTTTTAATCAATAGAAATTATTACTAAACTGACTGTTTTGTAATACAATTATGATTATCAGTTTCCTTGAACTGTAAAATTTAAAATTTTCACAGAACTCTAAAAACAAATTTACACCCATCATTGTATACAGTAAAATAAAGTAATAAAATGGGCTCAATGATTCATAATATTCAAGGTATTGTCTGTAGAGTAAGGTGGCATCATGTTCAGGTATTTAATTTAAATAATAAAGGCAAATAACTGATTAGTTTTCAGAGTACATTGAATTCGAAATCACCACTTGTTTGAAGTTACCCCATTTTGTGGTATTTATATACCATAAACTTATTAATGTTAAAATTACTGTGGTTAAGTTATATTAATTTATATATTTTGGTAAGAACCATTATTACATGCTTTTATTTTTGAATTATTTTGGATTATGATTATTATGTCCATTAGTTATAAGTTGGAGAAGATATTACTTACTTTTATGATCTTGTTTTGTCCTATGTCGTTTTGTTCTATAATCTGATAGTTAAAAGCTTTTCGTTTTTCAAACGTCCAATAAGTGTTATGAATTGCTCATGGTCATTAATAAATATGTGCATATCACTAATTAAAACACAGGCAGGTGAATTAAAAGGATTCAAATGGGCATCAATTGTTAAGCAGATTTAAAAAAAAACTCTTAAAAAAAGTAATTAAATCATTGCCACCCTCTTGTAAAGGAAATGCTGTGTGTCACAGGGACGACAAGATCCTGTAGTGAAGCTGAAGAAACAGCTGGCAGAGAAGGAGAAGCAGCTAGCAGAGGAGCTGTCTGCATCGCAGGGGGTGCAGGCTAAGCTGAAGGAGCTGCGCCAGGAGCTGAATACTGAACGCTCCCGGCTATCACACAGCTGTCGCCAGCTCGAGGAGGCCCTGCTGGCCAAGACAAATGAGGCCCAGGCATTGGCCACGCGGTTGCAGCACAACCAGGAGGCAGTCAACAATGAGAAGCAAGCCCTCACCCACCAGGTGCAGCAGGTGAGTATTCACACATACGAGTTTGCAAAGCGTGAGAGCCTTTAGGATTGGGAAAACATTATGGAACTCTGTAGATAAAGGAACAGTTTTTTCAATTCATTTTAGGCTAAAAGTGCAGTTAAGCAGGTGATTTCAGTAAGGAACTTTATGGGGCATTGCCCTTTCTCTTTCCTTCTATACAATGGTTTTGTAGCTTTCGCAACACTTCTCTAAGCTTATTCATCTTGTTGATCATGTTTCAAACAAAACTTATTTCACTTGTGTATACAGTGGTAGTATCATCATTAGTAATCAGTTTGTTTGAACATGCTAAACAATGAACTATTATTTCTGTTTTTTTTTTCACCTTGTTTTAGAGTAATTTTTAACCAGTTATTTTCAGGATGTTTATGGTGGTTATTGTTAAATTATAATTGTAACATGTTAATTAGAATGTTACAATCCAATCCAATGTTAACTAAAACAAATTGTTTTCTTTTTTTGTTATTGACTGGTATAATAGCATAAATTTGAGTACATCACTTTTTTAAAAAATTCTTATTTTTGACAAATATTTGGTAATTTTAACATGGTTCAAAAAATGGTAAACTTCAAAAGTAAATTAGATTGATTTTTTTAATTTTTTAATGCAACAAAAACTTGCGGTTTCATTGGGACACAGTTCACTAGAGCTGTACTAACTTAATACATCAATCTACTTTTACAACTTGTGACAGATTTGCAGACATGATCATTGGCTTTTATTCCTTCTTTCTCATTGATTCATAGGACATTAATAATCACTTGAATTTAATTTTGTATAAAATCTATTTGATAGTATACAATTCACCAAAAGTGTGTTTTGGGAAGAATGTATTTGAAGATGTAGATCATAACATTGTATGTTGTTGCCTATTAAATTGCTTATTTGATGTAAAGTATATTTCATTAAGAACGTGATTAAATCCTCTTTATTTTAAAACATATTTTCCAAAGGGAGATATACTTTTTAGGCCCTTCTTCTATAAATATTGAAATGGTTTCAAACAAAAATATTCAGTTGCTTTTTATTATTATTGCATACATAACTTACAATGTGACTCCTTAATTTCCATGTCTTTCAATTCCTCACCTCTAAAAGCTACTCTCTTCAGAGAAGTAATTCATGACTTTGTTCCTCCAATAATTGACTGATCTAATGTACTTTGACAGTTAGTGTATATTTATTAATTTATTTAATAAAAATCAACTGGGGAAATATTTTGAACAACTATTTATTCCTCAAATCTTGTCGTAATCAACACACTGAATAGCTTAACCCAGTTCACTGCTATGCTATGCTTTACAACAAAATATTCTTTCTTGGTAGCTAACTTTAATATTCAAATATATTCTATTGTTATTCTCCCAACATTTTTAAAATTGTTGGTGGACTTGTTTTGGAATTTTCATATTCTTTTTCGTGTTCATTATCTCTCCAATTAAAAATGTCACCTTTCTTTTGAATTATAAAGTTGTTTTTAATACCTCATGAAGTTAATTGATGTGATTGGGGTGTGTGCGCAGCTTCAACAGAAACTGAACGAAGAGCATGTGCGTCTGTGCCAAGTCCAAGAGCAAGAAGCCAGCCTGCAACAGGAACTGTTGGCACAGCGGCAGCAGATGATGGCCCATCTGGGTGAGCAGGAAGGAGCCCTGAAAACGCAGGTGGCACAACTGATGTCGCAGCTGAAGGAGCAGGAATCTGTCAATTCAACCTTGAACCTGGAGCTGCAGAATCAGAGAGACCAGCAGCTTGGTGAAAACAACCTACTTCACGAGCGTGTGGCCCATGCTGAAAAACAGATGCTTCTCTACCAGGAGAATGCAGAGAGAGCGCAAGATTTGGCCAGACAAGTTGAGGTAATAGTTTTAATTTGGATTGAATGGCAAGTTGTCCTGCATTCAGTGTGATTTTGTTTCACAGTGTTATATCTGCCTGAGAAAAGGATCATGACTGGGGATATACAAAATATCCCTTGTTTGTTTTTCTCGCAGATGCAGAGGTATTTCCAAAAAATATTTTTGCTTTCTCACTTACTACTTGCCTAGTAGAGAGAAGGTATTGTAATGCTGCAGCAAAAAAATAGTGTTGAAAAATTGGTATACAGCAGGTCTATCCATCCATTCGTCCTCCCTTCTCTGTCTAGGAACAATGCTACCTACTAAACTGTAGGCAGGATTTTCCGCTAAATTGATATTCCCTGATCATTCTGCTTGATGTTGCAGCCTTTAGAATTTGAAATGAATATTTTGATTATGGGAGGTACGGGTAAATGAAGTCTTTAAGTACATTTTCAATTTTTTTTCCCTTAAAAAATGGTGCCAAATTTTTTTAAAAAAAATTTTCTCAGAATGTGCAAGGTACTCTAATAAACATGGTGTAAGTCACATTTTCTTTAAAATCTCTGAAATTTTGAAAATTGCAAAGGTTTAAAGTCATTTCAACTTATCTTCATTACTGAAGTTGTAGGAATAAGAATTTTTTGTTAACAAAATCTATTCTTTAGACATAGATATTTAAATAACTTTGCACACAGTTTTGTCAAGACATTTGAGAAGTGTTAAAGTAGTTTTCCATAAAATGAAGCCAATTTAAGAAACAAGATAATCTAAAAACTGATTTTTGATTTTTGATTAAAGATAATATTTTCTTTAATTTTTCCTTTGACATTGCAAAATATTCTTATAAAAATGGTGCTCCCTTCTAATCACTGCTGCATGTTCCAAATCCAAAGATCTCTATTGTCAAGCATGGATGGCTCTAGTTGCGGCGAATACAAGAACATGTTTTTATCTGTCTCCAGTTGATAAGTTTTAAAACTTTGTTCTGTTGTATGTATTACAATCAAAGTCTAAAATATTTCTAATTTGTAAATTAGCTTGTTAGTTCCAACATTAACCTGGCTATTTAGATAAAGCTGTATGAATAATGATAGTGCAAGGTGTCTTCACAGTGTTTGTGGAATTAAAATTGTGTTGGAAATTGTGGATTTCACCCCACTCATAGTTGCATTATGTAACTCGCAATGAATAAAGGCAGTTTTGTAGTCTCAACTCAAAAATGTGTCACAAAGCATCAACTGATGTATAGTGAGATAAAGTATTGTGTGAACAGAAACTTACAACTGGCACAATGGAACTCGAAACTGCACACCTTTTCTCCCATTTGCCTTTTTAACTACTCACTAGCAGTCGGGTTTCCCTTTTGCACTTCATATCTGTTATTTCTCGCCCAAGGAACCTATTTCACTTACCTTAGCCACCTCATATTTTCTGATGTTCAGTTCATCTGGCTAAAGTTGAAGTCAAAACTTGTTCCTACTTCGCCTTACCTTTATCTATTTCACACAAAGTGAATATGAATTTCTAATTCATGAATTGTATTTCAGATTCGGAAAAGATGTGTTTTATGGTCTTTGTAGAGTACACTGGGCATTGTCAGGTTGAGATTGTTAAATTTTATTATAGAAAACAATGTTGGGGCATTATTCACTTATTTCTCAATATTCAAGACATGATGATGATTTCTGAAATGAATGCCAAAAATTTTCATTTTAAACAGACAGAATTTTAATACTTAAAAATAATGAATGTGATGTGAAAAATAGTGAATAAAAAATTGACATGTGTTAACCAAAGAAAAAAGGTTGGATGGTGAATTTTAAGTACAAAAATTTGACTTCTCTTTGGAAACCCATTCCCTAAAACTTTTTTGCCTAACTATCACATCTCTATATTTTCAAGTAGTTTTAAGTTATTTTTAACAAAGTGTTTAAGGTCATTCTTAATACATTTTAGAATAATTTTTTTTATTGTTAGTTTAAAAATTGAAATTCGAAATACATTGGGTAATTTTCAGGAATTTGCAAGAATTCGTGGGGATTTGGAGCACAGACTGAGTGCAAGCCAGCAGCACGAGTCTGCTTTGCAATTTGAAGCAAACAACCTGCGCAAAGAAATGGAGGAACTGAAGGCTCAGGTGGTAGGATACGAGTCCCTGAAAAATGAGTCAAACAGGTTGCGTTCAGACAACGATAAACTCTCCAATCAGTTGGGGCAAACAAAGGACGTACAATTAGAAAACCAAAGACTGCGTGATGAAAATGAACGTTTAACATCCCAAGTTAATATCCTGCCAGAGCTGCAGCGAGAGGCCTCGCAGCTGCGAGAGGAGAATGAAAACTTGGCTGCGCAAGTGACTGCAATGACTGAGAGGCCGGCTGCGGAGGGACGAGAGAACGGGGACCTTCAGTTCCATGAAGAGAAGCAGGAGCTGCACAAGGGAGATTTCAGCCTATATGAGAAAACGTAAGAACTTCTTGTTTTCGTTTTAAGTGAGTTAGGCTGCTTCTGAAGCAATTTGGTTTTCATGTACCTGCTGTTAAGAAGTCATTATTAAAGAAGTGTATCCCGAAAATTCCTTCTTGTTCAGATAGTACCTAAATTTAAACAATATTTTAACTTCTTTCAAACAATATTTGATATCAAAAGATTGATTAGGCTTGTGTTTTCTTATGTTTAAAGTGGAAGAGCAAAAAATTCAATTATAAAGTATTAAAAGTGCAATTTGCAGTAGTGATTTGTAAAATAACATTTTAAAATATAAAATATACAAAAGTTATAATTTATAAACATAATGACATTAACAAATTTTACAAAATTCTTATGTAAATATATCAAATCATAATTTGCTTATAGGAGTAATCAGATTGCAGAAATATACTTAAAAAGAACTACAGTTAAAATAATGAGATTTAAAATGATAAGCTAATGATATATTTAACATTTTTCTGTCTTACAGTGTGTAACAATGGAATGTATAAAAAGTTATTTATATTTAGATAGTACCTTTCTATGCAAGAATAAGAATGAAGGGACTATTTGCAGATCTCCTAAAAAAATCATCATGAAACATTGTCTTCAAAAACCCATTTTGTTTCATTGGTTGTTGATTTTTCTTCTCTATTATAACTACTGATATAACATTTACTTTCTATCAATTTATCAAACTGGATTCTTTCATTAATAAATCATAAATTAAATCATATATATATAGTTGAATTTGTAAGTCATGAGAAGATATTTTATTTAAAATTCTGAGATATTTATTAATATATTATTAAAAGAATTAAGGGATTAATGGCTTTGAAATAATTGATTGTCACAAAAATTGGTGTATATTATAAGTATTGATAAATTCATAAAATTGTAAAAAGTATCAACATAAAAAAGTGTGATATTCTTGATTAACTGGCTAATTAATAATTTTATAAATACTAAGAAAAAGAACAGTGACAGTTTTTTGTTATATAAATAAATTAATAAATTATTATTACCAAACCGGATTTTTAACATCCAATTAATTAACATTACAAGAGTCATGGGTCTTTTTTACTAAAGAGAATATATAAAGAAAGTGACCATAACTTTGTATCAAGTTGTGAGATGCATGTAGCTTTACCTAGCTCAACTATAGTCATTACTTTATTACAAAATGTGAACTTTAAAAACATTAATGCTTCTTAAAAGATAAAAATGATGATAAAAATGTTTCTTAGTTATCGGCAATTAGTAAATATTAAATGGTTCTAAATGTTTGCTTTTATTGTAATAGTAATGTGTGTGCTTCTGCTCCTAGCATTCAGCAAAAGGAAGGTCAACTTCTGCAGTTATCTGGAGAATTGGAAGAAAAGACTTCTCTTGTGAAGAAACTGCAATGTGAAATTAATACTTACAAGACTGACATTAACAAGCTTAATGAACAATTAGAAGAACAAAGGAAGAAGAACAATGTGAGTTGCCTGTTGTCATTTCCTGTTTGGCACGACTTCTTGGCCTGTGCATGATTCACTTTTTAACTAACTTATGTTATATTCAGTTCTAACATGGTAGATGTAAACTGTGATAGATACAAAATAATGAGCAAAAATTAAGTTTTTGCAATTATTTCAGTTTGGTGTTTTTGTAACTAATCATTTTACTTTATGAATGGTTTTTGCACAGTTGCACTTTTGGAACCTAACATTTGATTTTTGGGAGATGCCTTAAACATTAAAATCGTGATAAACTCTAGCATTTACTATGTAATGGGCTCTTAACTGGAGAGCATTGTACTGGTTCCCTTCAAGATAAAGTGTATATATGATCTTTCTGAAACTTGTTGGTTTCCCAATTTTAATTAACAATGTACCAAATTATTGTTTTCTGTAAAGTTGTAATATTTGCTACGCAAAAATAACCTGTTTTCTGAATTGGGAAAATTGTGTTGAAATCAATGTTCGAAAGTGAGTCGTGCAGTTATATATACGTTTATTGAGGTAGTAAGTATGAAAGGGAGTGCACATTTATATGATTTTGTGTTGAGAATGAAATTGATGTGTTCTCCATTGGTTTTAAACCCCAGAGGGGTAATATGACAGAATTAACAAACGTGCATTTTGTTAGAGAAATTACAACTGAAAACTTTTCAGACAGTTCACAATTGTAGTTGGATGTAATATCATTAATAGTTTGGATTTTTAACTAGAAAAAGCATATATTTAAATGGAAAAACGTGAAACCTTTTTTTATTGAATTCTGTGTTTTGATAAGATTTAACCCAATAATGGCCAGTGGTGCAAGCACTTCAAAGATAATATTACTTTTCTTAAATAATATATGGATGAATTTCTAGTTTTCTATGCTAGTATTTTTTTTGTATATTTTCTTGCATATGCTTTACTGTTGGCCTTGAAGTGATTTATTGATCTGCCAGTATAGCTGAATTTCTATTTGAATTTTAAACTAAATCCAAAAATGTGTAATTTGTAAATAGATGCATCTAGAAAGAAACTGCAAAATGAAGAGACCTTTCTTTCTTCTGTAGAATAATGTGAACAACTGCCTACAGTGAAACTCTGTTTATACGTTTTGCCCTTTCTAGTTTTTCCTTTTATACATTTTTCTTTTGAAGCCCCAGATAAATTCCTATATTTCCCATGCTAAATATATATATATATATAATCATCATACTTATTCATAATGATGTTCCTTTAATATTATGTAACGCTCAAATGATAATGACATAAGTGATAAATAAACAGGTGGCATAGTGAGAACAATTACATTATCATAGCGGAGCCCGAGGAATTTTTGTATTGATTTTAGTGTTGAGATTGTTAAGTTTTGTTGCTATGCCGGGCATGTCAACTGGTTTCAACTCTCCGTTTTGGAATTTTAGACAAGTGCAGATTTGCATGATGATCACCAACATTGCATGGTACAAATTCTGCACATTTAAAGGAAATATTGAAACTTGAGCGAATCAAAGATTTATAATGACATTAAAGGGGCTGGCTGCGTAAAGTAAAACTATCAGTGCCATCTTTTCCACCAGGCATGCTCATTCCTGACATGCAAGTCTTCTAAGTAACAAGTAATGTACTTCAGCCTTCAGGTGAATGACCAGTAACAAGTAGTGTACCTTTGCTTTGCTTCTGGGCACTAATATAGCTTAACTATCCACCTGTTTTGTTGAGCTCACCTTTTGATAGTAGTGATAGTAGATCTAGATGTGTTACTGTTTTGTTAACAATACAAAAGAAAATAAACTCCGTAGTTTGTTTACTGATGCAAATTTTCCAGTTTTCTATGATTTGAGAGGGAAAATGACTAGTTTTCAAAAATTGTTTTTTTTGGAACTGATATTCATCTTTCAACCATTTATAATTAAAATGTTAGAAAGAAATTCTGGAGCTCAAAAAAACAGGCAATGATAGTTTTTCTCCCCCATCAGTCACCTACAATTTTTTCTGTTCTTTGAGTAAATAAATCAAATGTAATGTTGGTAGCAGTTCCTGCAAGCAGATCTAATAGTGGAGCACACCAATCTAAAAATTTGAGTTTTTGTTTTCCCCATATTCAATTTCAGTCGTCCAATTTCTCACTTGCACATTTTTCCCCTTATACATTTTCCCCCTTCAGTCCCCTGAAAAACGTGTAAGTGAAGTTTTATTGTATTTCTTTTGTGTCTCTATTCACAAATGTTGCATGAATAAACTTGTGCATTGATGTACCATCAGTCAGAACAGTAATCCTGGAAAGATCGGGCAGTGTACTTTTTGTGTGCCGTTAAAAGAAGGTATGCAGCTTGAGAAAGTTTTCTGCCAAAAATAGACACTTAATCGGGCAACACACAGTCGCCTAGCCATGTGACTACCTAGAAAATGTACTTGGGTTTGTTACAGTAGTGAGAGTGCTTAGTTTTGTTAAGACAAAGACATGAACATGCTTCTGTTTTTCAGTGAATGAAGTTTCGTACGAATTTTCACATATTGTTGCTGCCCGTGCATCACAGCATAGGGTATAGGCTGTATATTCCTTTGATAATTATTTTGCGTGCGCATGCCAATTTCAAAATTCCCAGATTATGTTCCAAGGTGCCCTAGAATGCCTGTAGTTTGCTGGAAAATGACATAAAACATTAAATTTGCAACATTTCCAACCTATTCACCTGGCACAAAAGTCATATTTAAATGAGAAATTCTAATCATTTTTCTTTAACAATTTACATTAAATGATTTGACTGCATTTAAAATTGCTGCTGAATAAAAAAACTTAATGCACCTGGCAACACTGCTAGCATTCATGTTTTTCCACCAAAGGTGTGATGGAACTAGCAGATAAGGAGGATTTAGTTGACAGGAAAATGTCAGAGATGTAACAGGATGTGCAAAAATCAAACCAAGTTTGGAGGGGGTTTATGTTTTGTATATAAAAATGCTCTCGCGTATTTATCCTGAATGTTACAAAACTTATCGTTTAAAATAACTGATTGAACCCATATACTAGCAAAAAAGAGTAATAAAATACTAAAATATCTACATAATGACATCTATTTTTTTAATTCTTAAATTTCTGTCCTAAAGCACCTCAGTTAGATAAATTGATAGTGCATGCTCTCACACTCGGCATTTGCCCGCTCCTTCACAGTCCCATCTCCTGGCCAATGGTGCATGAATGTTCCATTTTCGATACAAACATTTTGACGTCAAATTTTTATTAGGATGAACAAAAAATGCATTCTTAAAACGTAAGCAATATATGCCCACTTTTTCATGGGTCAGCTAGTTATGGGTTGAAAATAGACTGGACAAAAGGGTTTTTTAAAAACAATTTTTCCATTGAATGTGAAATTAGAAATAAGTAAACGTGTATGTATAACAAATTTCTTGTAAACATTCCAAAACAATTGCATAATTTTCAGATCCTGTGAGTGTTAGAGGTGTTACTAACATGCACAAATCAATGTTCATTAATAATTATGAATGATTAAGAATTACTCCCTCAGATAATAGAACCTTTAAAGATATTCACTAAAACAGGGTTTCACAGTTACATTTTTGCATTGTGCTTACATTCATTAAATACATTTTCATAATCTCTTACTTGTTGCATGTTATAAAGTTATTAGCTGGCGGAAAGACAAGGAGAATCCATAGTTGAAAGTTGATATGAATATGTCTGTGTAGTTTTTGACTTCAAAATCTTTGTACACTTTACATTAACATACTCTTCTTGTGAAGTCGACACATTACAGGCAATATTGAAAGAATCCACTCATGTAAAGGGTGTTCTGGTATTGCTATGGATTCTCCTAATCGTGTGTCGTTTTGTGGCCGTAGGATTTGCGCATAAAGAACTGGAAAGCTATGGATGCGCTGTCGACTCTGGAAAAGTCCCTGCAAAGTAAAGTGCAAAACTCTTCCCCAGAACTAGTCAGTGTAAGTTCTTGCATGTTTAGTTCTGACTTCTGGGACATCCTTAAAAGTTGTGCATACCAAGAAATGTTAAAATTTTGGTCCAGTATTCCATATAGCGACTTCTTTGTGATCTTATCTCAAGGGTGACAGCATAACCATTTTACTATGTTTTTAGGTTTGTCTATGAATTAATAAGTAAGACGCACTGTCCAGATGATCAATTTTATTATTCTTATTGTTGTTATTATTTTCATTATTAAATGTTTATTTTACGGTTTGTGTATTCTGTGCTGTTTGGAAATCATTAGAGAATTTGTTGTATAATTTAGTTACTGATGATTCAATGGCATTAAGATTTAAGTCTCCAACACTGCATGACAAAGCTAAAAAATCTTATTTTGGTGTTGTTGTTTTTTTCAGGAAATTAGTCAAAAAGTAAATCAAGAACAGCAGAATGTTATTAAACAGCTTCTGCAAAGGATATTTCCTGATGTTAGAGTTGAAGACTGCAAAGTATGTTATTGTTATAAGCAAAACATTATTCAGTAAGATCATAATTTGTTATATTAAAATGATGTTAATGATTATTCATTTGCTACAGTCTCATGAGCAATGGCTGGAACAGTTTGAGAAGTCTGCCTCAAATTTCCTGTCAGAACTGCACAACCGCTCCCAACAAACTGCCCCTTCAGTATCAGAAGAGTCTGCCCAGGTTGAAGAGTTAGAAAAACAAAACAATTACCTCCAAGGCCTTGTGACAAACTATCAAACTATCATTCAAGATACAGTATGTATAATAATTTTTTAGTAGAATCAAAACATTTGTTTAGCAAATGAGATATTTTTTATTTAGCAAACCAGTTTGTCTAATTTTATTAATTAATTTGATTGAATATGATATTAATTATAAAATTAAAAAAAAAAAGATAAAAATATTAATAACTTTAAAATGGGTAATGTACTGAGAGGCATATAACGATTATGTAACTTTATTTTCTTTTCACATTGCATTGTGTGAAATGCGTTGGGGACTGTGATTGAGTGTTCGAAATTTGAAAAGAATTTTAAACTATCACAATTTTAATCACCTCAGGGCTTTTTATTTTAGTATTTTTATTTCCTTTTTATTTATCACTAATTGTTTATTCCACTTGCATTCCTCTTTCTCTCATCAGATCTGTAATACGTTTATTAAGCCTTCCTTTTTTTTTCCTTGTATAGTAGTATTTTTCAGTGTTGTCCGTTCAAAACTATTTATTCCTTTTACTTGCAGGGCTTCTGTTCATGAGTATTTCACTCTATACTTGATATTTATGTTTGCAAAAGAGAATAGTTTCTTGTATCCCATTAATATGGAAGAATACCTTTGTCAGGTTAGATTTCTTCCCTTGTCCTTATCTCGGGATGTTGACAAAAAATCTGGAAATTATGGAAAAGTTCATGGTTTTCTTTAATTAAAATTCTTAGCTGCTGTTTGTTGTGCATATACTTGGTTCTAAATAGGAAATTAAAGAAAATGGGATTTGGTTTTGTCCAAGTTTGATTTTGTTTTTCAAGAACTCAGGAAAATTTTGTTTCAGATATTGCAAAGGGACAGAATCATAAAAAGAACATTTGTTGACATCCTGCATCCTTACTCTTTCATTCTATGAAATTATTCATATTAAAATGAGTAAAGGTTGAATGATGCAGTCTTATTATCAGAGTTTTAAATATAATTTTTTTTTATAATTTCCTATATCTCGTGTAAGGTTGGTATTTTATTCCACTTGGAGGCTCCATGCCAACTTTTCTATTGAAGATGCTTTGCCCAACTGTTGCATCTTTGACATGCAGACTCATAAATAAAATGTAACTTTATCATCCATTAGAAGCCTGTCATAGTAAATTCTTCCATTTTCTTTATCAAAGAGTTTCTTCATGAAACAAGACAAGATAGTTCTAACCATTATGATTCTTTATCTCTAAGCAAAGTAATTTGTAGTTCTTTAAATTGTACTCAAAGATGATGGTAGTGCCATTTAAACATACAAAAATTCAATACTGATAAACTTTCATTTAAAATCAGAGCAGTCAAGCTAGGCACTCCATACATTCACCCTTCTCATTCCATATGGATTGCATGGAAGTTGCTTCTCTGCATTTTATACAGCTGATTGGGGCTGATCAGGATAAAAGCACTCTGCAAAGTTTGTGTCAACTCATAGATGTGCTTTTCTTCTCCTGCAGTCAGGCATGCTGACGAAGCTGCAAAACCAAGTGGAGGAGGGTGAGATCCGATGGCGGCAGCAGCTGCAGGTGAAGGAGGCGGAGCTGGAGGCTGTGAGACAGGAGCTGGAGGGCAAGGCATCGACCCAGGTGCCCAGCCACAGCACGGAAGTGAGTCAGAAGATAGCTTTTGTGTGCTTGGTTGTGTTAAGCACTTTCATGCGTTGTTTGTTTTGTTATGCCAAGGGAATATTATTCAATTGTATTCATTGCAAGCGTTTTGATTTGCTCTAATTTCTTTCCTCTTGTGATCTTAGATTACGAAGGGTGATGCTAATTAATGCTGGATAACAAATCAAAGAATTAGATTATCTTCACTGGTATTTTAATTATTGAACAGATTTATTGAAGCCAGATAATGAATGGTCTATTAGAGCACCATTCACGGCAGTTTGGGGTAAATGACAAACTTACAAAACATAATTGTCCTATTGTGAAAACAAAGTTCCATATTTACTTGAATATAGAGTTCAAAATCAGATTCACTCTTTGGGCGTGAACCAAGATTCTGCATAACTTCGTCGAACCTGCAACATGTAACAAAATCTTGATATTCATTTTCACATTACGTTTATTGATACAATGCCATTCGTTTGAGATTTTCTCGTTACCGGCCCATTCAAAAAATTTGACCTGAATTGCCCAGCAAATTCACGATGGATGCTAAGAATATTATCATGAATATAATTACTCAATATAGATATGCACGATATTTTTAGTCTCGGCAGTTTATTGTTACATCAACGTTTACAAGTTTCATAGCAGTGTAGAAACTACTCTAATCAACTAAGCTTAATTTGTAAATATAAGACAGTCTTGCATTTTTTGATTTAGATATAATGACTTGACAGAAAAAAAATAATTTTTATTCAGGTAAATATGTTAAGTCAAAAACTTAAGACTTCACATTCGGCATGAAAATCTGTTGTTTTTGTTACTTTTGTTTAATTTTTTTGCCTTACGCATGCTAAAATGGCAAGTTTATAGCCCCTTAAAGCACAAAAATCAAATGTTAGCATTGTATATAAGATTCAAAACGTTTTTAATTTCAAACTGCATTAAAACAATCATTGAAAGGTTTTTACTTTAGTTGTTTTCTCAATAGGTTGATGAAAAGTGGCTTATTCAAATCCCGTACAGGATACTGGTGCTTCCAATAATTCATTACCAAAGGTTTCTTTCTAAAGCAGTTGAAATTTCTCTTACAACTGCTTGTTGTATTGTGTTGTATGGAATCTGGAGCCTGAAATTGGAAGAATCCTTTTCATTTTCATCTTCAATTTTACAATATTAGTCAAATGAATGCATAGACTCAATGTTTTTAGTTGCAACTTTTGAAATTTTGGAACATGTATTCACTTGCTTATTAGCATTTTAAATTTCACTTAAGGTGCTGATATTTGCAGTATATTAATTTTCCTTTCCTGGTTTAGTGTAACTTTGTAGCGCAATTAATGGAGGTTGTGAACTCTAAAATTTGAGATTATTCTGGAATGTTTTGCGAGATATACTTGGTCAGCTTTAGGTAGTTCTAGTTCAGCCAACTATTCTGGAATGCATTTGAACGTGCCAAGATGCCTTTATTAATGTGTTTTGATTCATCTCATAATGTCTGCTGTGCATTTGTGCTGTGAAATCAAATTATTTGGAGGATGTAGGTGTATTAGGCGTTTGTTTGAATTTATATAAGCAGAGACTTTTTTAATCAAAAACATATCCAAATGGCAAATTAAACAGTAATTATGAATTATAAGTTGTTCACTATTGAGGGTCAGCTTATCTTGCTCTTAATATTTTACTACTTTTGAAGTAAGAATAATTTTGTATTTCTGTTTGATATTTAATGTCTTATTTTTATTATTATTTTAATATTTGTTTTGTCATATTGTTCATCTCGAGAACTTTTGCATTGTGAACTCAAAGCTTCATCTGACTTTTTTTTTTTTCTGAAGTAGTATGTAAATGTTTTATCCATTATAATGTGGTTTTACAGCATAACAATTAATGCTGAGCAACTTCTTTGAACATTTTTTTTTTCTTCTTATTTTTTTAGACAGTTTTGAAACTGCTACTTACCTAGATTTCATTTATTCTTTCGTTAATGTGCATTTTTATGATTCAAAGTGAATACCATGATTTTCTGTGTTGCCTGTGGTGAGATGTTTAAGAAACAGAAATGAGGACTGTGAAAGTATTTCAAACCTATTTCATACTTTTCTTGTATGGAAGTTGTGTTTGCAGGCTGAAAAAATAAGGTACTCGTTAGAGGTACTTGCAGGCAGAAAAGTAAGGTATTCTTAGAGTCCTTTAGATGCAACATGTTGGGTAGTGTCTATGTGAATAGCACTTTCAAATAAAGATTTGCTTGCTTTGCATTTTTTGCTGTGGCTCTCACAACCTCAGTGGAGCTCTTTTGCAAAATATTCTTCTGCTACTGCAGAAAAAAGACAAGAATGAGAGTTTCTCAGCATTTTTATAAAATAATGTGGCCTATGGAGTGGTGAACTGATAGAAGTGAGCTGAAAGTATCATCTGGTTCTGTTCATATAAAAGGAGCTTGCTTATTAGTATAGCATAATTTAAAAAAATAACAAGTATCTTATACAAGAGATTAAATATAATCACAGTCTAATAAGGGGGGTAATGATAAACATGAAATCACATTGTAGAAGACATAAAATTAATGTAAAGATTCAACTATAACCATTGTAGATGAGAATTTTCTGGAAATATATTTTTATTTTAGATTTGGATGGCTTGATTAAATTGACTCTACAGTATTTCAGTGGTTAACACTGTTAAATAGTAAAATAATTCTTGTACTAGTTTTAACAGAAATTGATGTTAACTGCATATCTTATTTTCTAACGTAGTTACTTTCATTGAATTTGTTAAGATTTATATTATTAATCTATCTCTTTGGTAGTATTTTCTAATCTTGTTTGTTCCAATTAAATCAAATTTTAAAGAAGTTAAAACTTGAAAATTATAAGAAAAAGGATCAACTTTGAATTATGTTTATTCACATAAATTCACCTTTAGCTAAATAAATTTTTGTGTTTTTATTTATTTATTTATTTTTTAAAATTTTTTTTTTAGTAAGATTTTGTGGGTGTTGTCAGGAAATCTTGATGACTGGATGATATCAGTTAATGCCTTTACAAACTTCGCTTTAGACTGTACACCACATCATATGTAGCATTATTACCTACTATTACCTTTATCTTTCATTTGTGTGGAATGTTGCAATGTACTAATGCATGCAGTAGTGAATGGTAGTTCTGTTTCTCCCCTGTACAGGCCACATCTGAGGTATGTGGAGTGCAGTTTGCGTTTAACTGTATCGAAAAGTCTCTTCCACACATCTTAAGAGAGGTACAGTAGTGAGCTGTTAGCCCCTATGCAGGCAGTGCACACTAGAGTGATGTTTTCTTGAGCTGTTGTGTATAATTCCTAACTTATTCAAATGAAATTCTAGAAAATAAATTCATGAATGATTGTTATAAAATTTGCGTTTGTATTAATTCTACTGTGCACTGTCCAATCTTACATGATGCTATTTCTTCTTTCTAATATTGGTGGATTAGTATGTATTGAAAGTATTGCTGGAATGGTAATGTAGAAAAGTATTAATTTTGGTGCGGAAAGGGAAACTGCCATATCTTAAAAAAAGGAAAATAAATCCTACATTTTCTCTGCAGATCCTGCCAGGTTTTCTAATCCCTTGAATCTTGAATCTTTTGCATTCTGTATTTACAATAATGCTAATAGTAATAAATTTTGGTAACTATTAAAGGGATGGGATATTTTGGAAACAACTCTTGAATTCTGGATTATATTACATGGCAATGTAATCGGGTGTCTGTTGAGAAAATTCCTAAATGTGTAGAACGGTGCAGGAAAGAAAAGAGAAGGAAAAGGGGAAAAAAAAAAAAAAAAAATTAAAAATGAGATTTGAAGGATATTCGTTGCAGGGGGGAAAACTCTACCAAGTTGAGAGTTCTTCAATCTCTTATCTTTTTCAAGATTCAAGGATTTGTGAGACCTATCCTTAATAATATGTAAGGCCTTCATTTTCTTTATGCAGTATCAACTTGGTAATTGGGGAATTTTGATAGATGAAGATGGAATTGTTAAACTGTAGTTTGAAATCTTATGGTTATAATTGGCTTTGTGTTTTGGGCATTAACTTGCTAACTAGGATATGCTCTGTGTGCTGGTTTGACTAAGTTTGTATTAATGGTACAGTTGAGTTAATGTTAACTGATTTTAAGGTTTTTTACTTTGGTAATTAGCTTACTCTATCATTCGTCATCTGAAACAGGAGCAGTAATTTACGAACAAATATTTCTAAATACAGAAAAAAATTCACTTATACGTTTTTCAGGGGACTGAAGACAAAAAATGTAAAAGTGAGAAAAACACATAAATGAAATTGCATATTATGAGTATAATAAAAACTCAATATTTTTACGCCACAATTTTATCAAATAAATTATTGCTAAAAAAATAATTCATTATGCAGTTTAAAAAATTACTAATGAAAAAATGTCTATCTTTGTCTTTTGTACATTATCAGACATTTTTTAAATTTTATCCGATATTGAAAGGGGTTGCCTTTTCCTACCTCTCATTTGCATTTAATATCGCGAACGCGAAAGACGAACTACTGCAGCACAGCAAACGCGAGATACAAAAGATATATCAAACTTAATGTTACTGGAGATTCCATAGGTCAAAGCACGGTGTTCTACGTGGGCGACAGGAAGCGCACGACAGTCGCAGCCTGGCAACACTCGCCGCGTGGAAAGGGGATCGGTTTCATTAACTGGTTGTACCGTGCCGCTACCGAAAGGATCTCGTGTGTTATGGCGAGCGAAAGGGACCTTCGGAGAGAGGAACAGTCGGTGCACAAACTTGCTCACTTATTGGACATCTGTGTCGGTACGCTCTCTCGGAGATGCCTTTGACCTTCCTCCGGAGCTAGCCGCCGCCTCCTGAGATCCTCAGCGAGCTCCGACTCAACTTTTCAAAGTCCGCTGCCGTAGGTGGCCCGGGAGCCGACTTCGCGTTGTCACCCCCGCGGGCTCGTGCGGTATTAGCTCCTCAGCTCAGCCGTGTTTGGCTTTTGTATTACAAGTTTCATTTACGGGAAGCCACCCTCAGAGGCCGAGAGGTCGCTCCGCGGGAGCGCTCTGGCGCGTGCCGACCCAAGTACTCGTAAAATTCCGGGCGCTCGGCGCAGCTCTGCGGGATCATTTGAACGTTGTATGATTTAAAGGAAGTTATATTATGAAAGTATAAGTGTGGAAAAAAAACACTTGTAAACCCAAAACTCTTATCTGAAATAATTTAGCATGGGAATTATAGGAATTTATCCGGGACTTGCCAAAAGCAAACGTGAAAAACGTGTAAGTGCGAAACGTACGAAGGGAGTTTCACTGTATTTGTGATGAAAACAGATTCCTCTTGTACATTGGCTAGTTTATAGGAGTGTTAAAATCCTTGGATCATGTTCATAAACATATCAAGTGTATCATCAAAAACTTAGTAATTTTCAATTTATGTATGTTTACCATAGGTAAAGTAATAATTAGGGATTTGGAGAAGCGTTTTTGATAAAGAAGAATAAAATAGAAAGAATTCCTGAAATTTTATTTATTTTCAAAGATAATTTCCATTTTTTATTTTTTTGTCCAGAATTATTTTAGTCTATCATTTTTTATTAAACTCTTTGAAATCAGAAACATATTAATCAAAAACCATAATTTAGATCAATTGTATTAAAATGTTCTTTTAATTTTTGAAGTTTGGTGTTGAATCTTAACATTTCAAGGACTACTTTTCCTCTTCTTCAGGAGTCAAAATTTAAGAAAAACATCAGCTATTACAAAACAATGTTAACTTTTCTAATTTGAAGATTATAGTCAAAGTTACATGTATCTAATTGAACGTATTATAAAACTCGCTTCATATAAATTTGTCATATATTGAAATCCATTTCTTACTCTATGTGAAACAAAGGTTGTTTCTAGTAAAAGTTCTCCAGTATAAGTAATTTTGTAACCATACATACCTTTACTTGTCATGATAAAAGAAGGGGTAGAATATATTTTGACTTTGTTTAATAGTTATGATGACAATCTCAACTTCGTGGTAGAATTGGAGAATCAAGGCCATATACAGTTAGTAGATATGTGTTCACAAGTATAATAATGAAATTATCACAGATTAGTATTAGAAACCAAACAGCATGAGGATAATTTTTAAACTATGCATCAAAACATCCTTTGTCTCAAAAATATAGACATTTGACAAATCCAAAATTTCATGGAAAGAATTTGAACAAAGTTTTTAATTGCTTCATACAAAATAATTATCCTACCTCCTTTACTAGGATATTTGTTAATAAATGAATATTTTATTTAAGGATTGATGTTCAAAAAGATTGTTGAAGGTCCTTGTACTATACTACCTTATATCAAGTTCCCTTACTAATAAGATTTTCATAAGTTTGAGGTAACGATAAATTAATTTTCCTTAATTAAACTTACTAACAAGAATTAGATTGTTAAAACTATCAAAGACAAGTTGGACATTCTAGATCAAAATAACATTGTGTATTGAATTTCTGGTAAAAATTGCCAACTTACAACTGACAGCTTGCCAACAACAACAACAACAACAACAACAACAACAACAACAACAACTTATGTCAGACCAAGAGAAATTTAGAAAAGAGAATTACTGAGCATAAAAATAATATTA